ATGTGTAATAATTACCTCTAAAGTGTTTGCAATTGGTGCACTAACTAACTCCTCCTTATAGGCATGCAACTTTAGATGTTAGTTGGCCGCCAGGCATGGCTGTGGCTGGTGCTGTGGCCTATTATTGTACGTAACGTTGTTGAGTAGGAAGAGCCGACTTCCAAACGCTCGCAAAACAAATGGAAAGGCATCCAACAGTAGCATGCGTTGTGCCTCATGGCACCACTGAACTGATACGTGAGAATTTGCAAGTCCAAAGTCAAAAGCTTGTTTACTTTTGGAAACTCGTCTTAAAGGTGTGGTAATGTGGTACTTTTCTAAGAGAGGATTGAGTGTGACGCGCGTGTAGGAAATAGGAATTGCGAACTGATCCCAAGATATGTAGTAATCAATCAATCCTACTAAATTATGTGGACAGAGTGTTGCCGTGGACAACAGCTGTCAGCTACGGCTAGTCTAAGGCTTTGACTACTTCACCATTCTATTTTTATTACTCAGACCCCCCCCCCCCACCCCCCTTCCCAAAAAAAAAAAAGTATTTTTCATGTTTTTCGTTTTCTTTGAGCAGAATTTCTTTTGCTTCTGAACTTGCCGCATAACGATGAATCCTTGATACCGACCACGTTGAATCACTCCCTTCTGAGTCATCATCATCAGTCACAAGACAAAAGAAGACAATAATATATATTGACAACAATATTTATAATCAGTAACCTATGAGTAGAATTTTATCAATTCTTTTTTCCGGGACAGCAAGGCATTGCTGTTGTTGTGATTTTAGTATTACTGTTGCTTCCTCCGTCTTACTTTGATAATCCTGATTTTTTTTTTCCACATAGTTTAAAAAAAAGTAGTTAATTTTATTGGAACAATCAATTTAGGTAGCTATTTTTCTAAAATACCCTCACATTAATTAGAGTATAACTTTATGGGAACTTAAATTGATGGTAAAAAAAGAATCAACTCGCATTAAATGGGGTAGGTTTATAGTAACAACAACTTACATTGAATAAGGGTATTTTAGAAAAATTAAAATACAACTACATTCTTTAATTGAAAAGTGGACTACAATTTGGGACAGACGAAAAAAGAAAATAGGACTATCAAAGTGGAACGGAGGGAGTATTATTTATCAGTATGCTACTGGATACCCAAAAATTGAAATTCATTATATTATAGCCTTTTGCTGCCTTAAAAAATTTGGCTCATCTTTATGTAAAATAGAAAAAAAGCCCCTGTTCCCTGTTCTATCCAATTCTTCCCCAGCTGCTGCTGCTGCTATTTATGCCACAACCCAACTGCCCCATTCATACTCCTTCCTCCACAACTCGCAACGCCGCACTGTTCTGTAAAATCTTCTCTATATCCTTCTGCTCTGCCGCTCAGAAATAAGGCCAAGAAAAACCAATCAGATTCTGACAAGAACAATGAGAAGAGGATACTATACATACATCACCTCCCTCCTCTTCTTTTTACTAATCTCCCGATCAATTTCCGCTCGTCTTCTACCAACCAATCAAGGTAAAATCCTGATAATATTTCTCCCTCCACTTTTTTATAACTTCATGAATCATTAATGCTTGCATATTATCATGCACACACCACTGCTAATTAATATTTAGTTACTACTCGTCACAAAATCCAGTTTAATTAACAGTCCATGGAATCTACATGCAGCTTCATCTTCACTCTCGACGACGAAAGCGGACGAGGACATGGCCAGTGTAAGAACTACAACTACTACAATTCGATTTTATTTACCCAGTAATTCTTATTAATATACCTAGTTTCTCTCGCTATGTGTTATTGTGACCACTAAATTGATTACCCTGTTCTGTGTCTGAATCAATCGTTGATTGAGATGTATGTTTGGTTTTATATTTCTACAGCTGATGGGTCTGGAGGAATGCAATGGAAAGGATGAAGCTTGTGTACAGAGAAGGATGATTGCTGAGGCTCACTTGGATTACATCTACACCCAACACCATAAACCCAAGGGTTCACCATAAAAAATTTACTTGTATAAAACCAACTCATGATAACCAATTATTACTATTAGATTACAAGTACTTCAAACTGTCAACACCAAACAAATATAATACTTACTTGCAGTATCTACTAGTTAAGCTAGCTGTAGATTCAGATGAAAGCTATTAAACAGTGAGTGATTTGCCCTCCCCGTCTCTGCTGCTGTGAAGTGGGGAAGGAGCTGAATAGGTAATAGAGATGCAATATCTACTGTTGTACGATACATGCAACGAAACCCCAGATAAATAGTTGAGAAATCCTTTTGTATCAACCCGTATTTATTGATGCATACGTATTTAATTGTGATATAGAGACAATGGATCACCACAGTATTATGTTGCTGTTTGTATAACTAATTACAAGTTCGAGCCACGTACAAAAGGAGCAAAGCACCACATTTTTGGGGCTGACGGAAACGACCGTAGAAAAATGGGCTAAGTTTCTTTTTGCCGTTTTTTTTTTTGTTTTGTGCAAGTTGCTAAGTTGACCAAAAGCATGTGTTCTTCTCTTCACGTCTTCAAAGATTTCTTAAGAAATTCGTTTTGCTCTGTCGTAGTTTTGTCTTTTTCCTTTTCTTTTAATTTATGTAGAAGAAGCTAATGCCCTGAAAATCCACATATGACACCGTTAATCTGGCACAAGTAGAGGAGGGTTGACGAGCCAATTGTAGCCTGTAGGTCTTGCCTAGATGATAAACTACTCCTACTGCAACTCGAGCAAAATGCCATTGTATAACTGCATCCGCAACCGCAATAGCTGCGTTTGGAAACTCGAATTACTCGATGACTTTTAGACTTATCTAATAATCTTAAAGGCACGGTAAGGAAAAGTCCTTACGATACGATATATAATAAAGCATGCTTCAATCCCCTCTTTGAAAAAGCTGATAATCTTTTCCAAGCTTTTCTCCCTTCGACAGCTAGGTGTCTCTGCTCATTATCCACTAAAGAACCAAGCCCAACCAACAGCTGACTCTCATGACTGCATGCTATAAGACCCATCAACGGGAACCCTGTATGAAAATTGAATGCGCATTCAACAAGTTTGGGTTTGGAGTAAAGAAAGTTCAAATTGCTCATATCTTCCCCTTCTCTTTCTCATCGTAGTCATATCCAGATTGGAACTCCCATTTGTTGTTAGTGATATGCAGATGATTTGCTTGCATGACTTCCAAAGGGTCTGACTAGTATTCGTTTAAAGATCAGCAGATTTCTAGAGACCAAACATATCAGGTACGTCAGTTAAGCATATGCATAAACACAAGGCTACACACACATGTACACCAAAGTGCATCAAGTAGGTAATTCATCACTTGATGAAAGTGAATCTCGTCACTTTCTTTGTCGAAGCTTGTGATCGAATGAATAGATTGACAACTTTGATAATTGTGCCGCGAACACATCCATACGTGTACTAAACTAATGGGAGTCAAGTAATCTAATCGTCCTAATTTTATTTGTGCAGAGTAGCATTACCATTTATCTATCGCGTAAGTCGGTCAAAACTAATCTTGCGTTATTAGCAGCCCCGAAAAACGTATAGTCTCTGCTTGACCCAAAACTTTATCACATTCCCCAGGTCCACGCAACTCGGTGCCTTGGAAGTGAAGGGCGTGGAACCGTCTGCCCATTGGCTTGCCATTTCTGAACTGAGGTTGGTGCCGCTGCCATGCCTAGTTAATTCTTCAAATGAATCTATAATGGGTCAATTTTGTTCCACACTACCGTTTGACTGAGCAGAGTTGTCTTCTCGCCTATAGGCTATATTTCTCAACAACACAGGTGCGTCTGCACGCTAATCCCAGAAAAACAGAATGACCATCCTAATTGACACCCAAGTGCCAGCGTGGCTTGAAAGCAGGACCATGTTCTGGTGTACAGCCGTTAATCTTTCTAGTACGTTACCCGATCGTATTGAAGGTACGTAGATGGTAGTCTAAAATCCAATCGGGAAACCCAAAGAATATGGTCGGCTCACGGTAATTCCTGCCAGTGTTACTCACACACACAATTTATACTTTTACCCGAATATCCATTCTACACACTGACATACTTGACCCGAGTGGTGCGATTCTACACACTTTGGTGGGATCTATACATCCCCTGCCTAAAATTTAATCACAGCCAGACACACTCCAAACATTTCTCTGATGGTAAATTTTGGACTTCGAATCGTCCATTATATTTGGTGTCGATTGTTCTGGGCCGATGTCCATGACAATCAACATCAATTCAGACAAGTTAGTGCATATACGTTCACTTACTCATCATAGTTCAACAACACTGAAATCACCTGGGATCGATCCTCACGCTTGTCACAGCAAGTAGCTTGTGGAACTGCGATACTTGTGAATTGGCTCTTTCTTAACAGGAGAGCACGAAGAAAAGCTCAGATGAGGTGAAGTACTCATTTCTGGTTTCTGTTATAAAACCGGAAGCTTATTCCATCGAAAACCAATGAAAGCGAAGAAAATAAGTAGCCAATGCACAAAACAAAATTCACATAACAGAAAGAACACACGTATCCATGCCTTGCATATGCCAGAAAATAATATACTGGGTCAGAGCATTCTGTGTGTATACAAATCACAGGTCCATGGCTGCGATGTCTCCAAGAAAATGCACAATTGTCTTTCTAGTATCAAAAGAAAAGCATAAAATCTGGTACTGACAATTGGAGGTAACGATATATGACACCTAGTAGTAGGATTGACCATCATCGGAAATTTTTCACAAAGTATATCAAGGGAATCTTCAACTAGCTAGTACGAGACTTAAAGCAAACATGGCCATCCAGATCCTAGCTCCAATGTAAATCCTGAATAAGTGCCATGTCTAGTAATCTTGCGAAATAATAAAAATACAAACAGAAGGTCCACTGCCCAACAAACTAAGAAGTGATAATAGGGCCTTATATCTTCCATCTTGTGAAGTATCCACAAGTAGAAGTTCACAGTATGAAGAAAATCAGAATACACAACTGAGTAGGCTTTGAATAATGTTTGCAAAAACTTGATACATTACTTTAGGGTCATTAAAGGCATCATCGAAATAAATAGATGAGAAGGGGATTGGGACAATAAAGTCCAACATAATCCATCACATTAACATAAAGAGGATGTAAGCCTCGTGCAGAATGTGAAGTTTGACTTTGGAATGGACATGCAGCTGATGAATTCATAAATGCTGCTGCTGGCAGATTCCAGAACCAAGCTCAAGTTTGCAAGAAAATATGGTGAAAAGAAAGCATAAAGGACAACTCAATCAAATGGAAAAAGAAACTGACAACAAACATCTTCCTTTTTTTTTTATTCCTTTTCCTTGAGAACCAAAAATTTAAATAAGAAAACCAAGGAGGTAGCTTTTGAACAAGCTCAACACTTACAGGAATACAAGGGTTCAGCCTTGAATATACTTTTGCATGAGGCGAACAAGGAACATACTCCACTTGCTGGTTTTCATGCACCAGGATCATTACATCACCAAAGTTTACCTCAAAAACCTACTGGACCTTTGCCTGAAAAAGAAAGGCCAAAATTTTAATACTGCATCACAGAAAAGCCACAAACCAACAACGCAGCAAGTGAAAGATGATCCGCAGAGCACAGGAAAATAAAATTATTAAACAAACAAATGACAGAAATATAGAGCAACAATCACAAACAGGGATAAGTATCCAGTAATTAACTTGACAGTTTGGGTTTTAATGGTCTAATAGTGTGTGTGTTTCGTGAGTACATTATCTGCATCCAATATTAGCAATCAAAGGGAGTTATTCATTGAGATGTGAGAATGATCAATTTCCTTAACATCGTTCTGCCTGTGCAATTTTGTGATGCACATTGAAAAAAGCTCCCCTCCCCGTGACTTTTATTTTGCCTCCCCCCCCGGGCCCCGGTGGTCATATGTTCTCCAAGCAGATATATGGAGGTAAAATCTTCTAATATCTAGAATGTACTCATCAGCACGGCCTATCACAGTGGGGGGGCCAAAAGGGAGCCCTGGCACTGCCAACTGGAAATTAAGAAGCCCAAAGAAATTTTGGAAGAGATCCTACTCATACTTTTGGCCCCTCCAGAAACAGATAGTATTAGCTTGTGCTTTAAAGAAAAACCTAGAACCATACATAAAAAAAATACAATACATTGCATATGGCCCTTTCCTAAGGTAAAGCATAAGCCAGAAATTCACCCCAAGTTCATATATTTCTGAAACATGCAAATGCAAGGTAATCAGGTCCATGACACGAAAAGATCATATGGACAACTTGGATTGTAAAATGAAACATGAGAGATAAAAGGCCAAAATTCAAGCCACGACATAGTAAACTCAATCCCAATCAACAAAAGACACTGAAATATGATTATTTAAATGTCAAAAAGAAGGCCAAAGCCCCAACTGATAAAAAGAAAGAGATGTTATCTTTTCACAAATCCAACTAAAAAAGAGGAAAGATCTTGACCATTTAAGGTATATCAGAGTGATTAATGAGCTCTCACAAATAGGAATACATTGTAAAATGAATTGGGAAACAGGAGAGAACATGGCATGTCTGACTAATTAACCTTTATTGTTATCCCGCACCCCAAAAAAAAACGTTGTCATCCTGCCCTAACTTAAAAAGAACTTTAACATCTCTGGTTTTCCGCATATTTTTTCCATTTCATTCTAAATCCTCGGAGATAATCCAATCTAGAAGTATATTCAAATGATCAACAAATACCACAACATATACCTCTACAGAATAGAAGGATCTTTCTTAAATAAACTTACTACTTGATGTTCGTGGCACAATCCAAATCAAGAGAACTTTTTGCTAAGCAGTTTGCATGGACTATCGTGTCCTGAGATGCTCCCTCATTTGTAATTCCAGTGACATTGGCATAGCTAGCTCCTTTGAACATCCATTGGTCTCTTTCCTCGCTGTAAAAATCTTCAAAAAGCTCACCACACAACACACATAAACATTGGCTTTCATCAGCAGGAACCATCTGCTCATTACATTCTGATCTCTTGCTGGGACCTTCCAAAACCCCTGCTGATTCATTATTAGACACAATACCAGCATTACCTGCTATCCACTCAACTGATTTCAAATACCATTCTCTTGATTCCTTATTCAAATTGTTCTTATCTTTGTCTCGCAAAGCATGCCACTCCAAGTGTCTGTTGAGTTGCTCCTCAATTTTGAGCCGAAGACCACATATGCTACACTTAAACAAAAGATCCTCGAGAAGTTCACTGATCACAGCTGGATGGAATTCCCTAAGCACATCTGCCTTAAATTGAAAACCAATAAGATTTTTCATTTCAGCTGCAGTGGACTCGGGCAACACGTCCTTGGCTTTTGACGTAAGCTCAGAAATAGGCAGCTCCTGTTTGGTAGATGAGGAACAAAGTGGTAAGGAAATTGGAGATGAACTTGTGCTTGCAATTTCAAGACTCTGGTTCTGAGATCGACCAGGTGCATCTGGCATAAGAGAAGTTACTGACTCGGTCTTTGATGCAGATATCAATCCCTTCTCAACAAGTGAACTCAAAAGACTAGAAACTGGAGCAGAGACAGCATTAGCTGCATTCAAGGGCTGTGCCAAGGCACTACCGACGATAGAGGAAGGAAGTGTCTCAGGAGGCACTGGTAGTTGGCCACCATTTCTCTGGGGTAAAATTGAGGATTTTGACGTGTTTTCATTCGATGACTGACTCAAAACAGAAGCAGGTGAAATCCTGGGCCCCACCATTGTAGAGTGGGTTGAAGGATGACTAGTTAGAGTAGGCTGCTTGCTTGCCTCAGTTGCTGCAACTCCAGCATCCTGAGAACTTAGAGAAGGTACGCTTCCACTAACAAGATTACCACCAAGTATTCCGCTTTTCATAACAGCTGCCAACAAACTACTAGTGCTTGATTGTGTAGCCACCGCATTGGTATCTTTGGAAAATGGATTTTTTGACACTGAGGAGAGATCTAAACCTGAAATTTCGGGCAATGATGATGTCGATGTTTGACGAATAGATTCAGACAATAGAGAATGAGGAGATGCTACAGAAGACAAAGCACAAATACTTGGTGGCTGCTGTCTCTCCAAATTAGCAAGATGGGCATTCCGGGATGGCAATGGCTGAGAATTGGCCCCAAGATTAAGGTGTCCTGGATATTGAGAAGCTCTACACTCTGCAGGAGGCAAGGCTGGTTTTTGGTCACGCTCAGCTAAATTGTGAGCTACTTGATTGGCTCCACGTACTAAAAAGGAAGGTGAAGAAGGCCGCTGATGCATGGGGGACTGTGCAGAGGGTGATGCAGCTCCCAGAGTCTGTCGTGGTTGTCCTATGGATCCCATGGGCCCCAATGTTGCACTTGAGAAACTATAGCCTGGTGTTCCGCCACCACCAGGCCCTATTTTCGAATGGAAAAGAGGCCTACCTACAGTACTAGCAGCAGTTGCCAACCCACTGAGAGATGTTGGATAGCTTCCAGAATTATTCATGATTCTGGAAGAAGGCAAATGACTAGTCCCTTCTGACAGGACCGGGTCCTGGGACCATGATGTTGCTATTCGATGTCCAATAGCAGCTTGGCCTTTCTGTTCAGTGGATAGAGAATCAGCTGAAGCTTCACTCTGCGAGAACAAGTAAAACATTTTCAACAATAATCAGTCTCCCATAACGCTCAAAAAATTTAGAACTGAAAGTTGATGTCTTCCTCAATTCTCCTATTGCCAGGACTCCTTATTTCAAAAATAACAAAGAAAGAACTTTTTTTATAAAATTTGCCTGCCATGCCTATAAGTTATGGACATCTGGAACATGTTGTCCATCAGTTCCATAGATTTCATTTTGTCATACTGTTGTAAGAGCATTCTTGACTACAACATCATTCAGTGTTTGAATGCATAACAATCTTTCCAAGAAGTGATAATCTCAGAAGTCCCCAATCCAACATCAGACTTAATTATTACTGCCGTTTACTGGAAGCACTAATCTTGAGTTTCATTATTTACACAAGAAGAAATAGCTTTAGGTGTAACAAACCACAATAAAATCAGTATCTTTAGGATGGAAAAAAATATTTACTATGCAAATGTTAGTAAATCACCAAGTTAATATGCTACATAAGACAAGAAGACCGTCATACAGACCGCCATACAGAAAAGGCAGGGATCCAGGAAAAACTTCAGCATAAAACAGATCTCTGTGGATGTCTCTCTGTGCTAAAGTAATTAGCATGGAACATGGACTAGTACAATGACTATCCATCTTATCCAAATTATATTCAGTTTCAACTTCGAGGTGGTGTTGAACGTAAGGTATGTTGATTGAATACTGAATTTCTGTTACAAGTAGCTTATTTATTGCATTATCGTCAAATACCAAAAATGACAAAAATAACAAGCCAATACCAAAGATAAGGTGACAAAATGAAATATCAGATTCCATTACTGAAAAGCTTGGATAACTGCTTAGTACTCACAGTTCTTTCAGAATCATCAGGTGTCCAACGATCTCTTCCAGAGCTATTGATTGCACTTTGATCAGTGGCTCTTGAGTTAATATCATCCCACATGTACTCCTCTTCCTCAGAGTTCTTCCAGCTCTTAGTCATCCCACTGGTGCTTTTACTGGGAAAGATCGGTCTGGGTTGCATATTTGCAGAACTTACAGACCTCAGAGCTGGATACCTTGGAAACCCATGCTTAACATCAAAACCATTCCCTTGGTCAGCCGGCATGACACCTCCAGATTCAAACCATGTCTTATCAAATACCTGCTCTTTGAACTTTTCACCTGCTCCTCCAATTGCAATGCCCGATCGCTTCAACATCAAAGAATCATATTCAGAGTCATCAAATGGGGCATCACTCAGTTGTTCTCTTTGAGGATGCTGAATATTCTGCACATTCAGATGAACATAATATCATATATCAAAAATCTGTAAAGCACAAAACTCAAAAATAATGAATCTGATATGCACCTTAAGAGTAGGATCAACCCATGGTCTTCCAGAGCCAACACCCGGAGTTCTTTCAAGTCTTTCCTCAGATGAGTTTAACAGGTTTCCACTAATATCACTGGCAGAACCTTTGGCCTTCACCACAAGGCACCATCAAAATAAAATCTCAATAAGGATTCAAAAAATTATGTTCCCAAACGAGCACACTGAGTAGGATGAGAATTTTCTTTTTTCAAATAAACAAGCTAATTGCCAACACATCTACATAAATGCAAAAAAGCAAAACATTTGCATAGGTCCACGTCAAAAAAAAATTAAAAAAAAAGGTCTCCACATGCAGCATTCAGATATACACCAAGAGTAACAATCGAAGCGGTATAGCATTGGCCTAGTTAAGCAAAAAATAACAAAAAACTGTGAGGATATTAGGTTTATATGATGCACAAAGCATTGAATGATATACACTGCAGTGATATTACAATGCACATGATCCTACCAGCTTGCCACCAATACCAACTAGGAACCACAAAAGTCAACCAATTGTCCCCAAAAAAATTGTAACTTGGAAACTAAAAGGCATGTTTATCCACTTTTACTTAATTAATCACTTTCTCCTCTAAAGCAAAGTTTATGAAAATCAAAATATCATTCCAGTGTGACCTTTTTATAAAATATATTGGGGGATGGGCGGTAAAGGGAAGGTTCTGCTTTCATATATTTTACTTTTTCAAGTGATTTTATAATTTTTTAAAATTTTCCTCTCATGAGTTTTGGTGTCAGACACTTCCTTGCCTGACACATCAAGGGATGGCCTAGACAAAAACTGCTTGATATGCATGGTTAGGGAAATAACACAAGTCAAAATCTGGGTTTTCAGAAAAAGCATTTATTGCCCACTTCCATCTGTGGAAAGATCGTTCAATCACAACAAACATTGAGCGATGATGAACGGATTAAAGAGATTGCCCCATTTTCACAACAATCACAAAAATATTAAAAAGAGAGATACTCTGAACAGGCCAACATCTGTTGGATGCTTTGACTTATAATCATCAATTGTACATACACCCAAAGAGTGTCAAGCACATAGTCTAGACTGAAAAGTCCAACTCAAAAGTAGTCCCTTACCCTAGTAGACAGATCAAGACGCTGTCTTGCCTCCAAATACTTGGGGTTCACATGGATGCTATGTGCAGGGCGAGCAGCAGGAGCATCAGGCCTAGATGATGTTCCTAAAGAAGAACCATTAGTAGCAGGTACAAATCCAAGATCCTTCTCAATCATCTGAAGTGTTGGAGAAGGAAATACTCCTTTCCAAGTGCCAAAAAGATGCCTCATGCCAGGATGTATTGAAGGATCAACCTGTCTATATGCCTTGCAGAAAACCTATAAATGCACCATGAAAGTATTACTAGTACCCAAGAAAAAATATCACATATACATAAAACAGTTTGAAGAATATGATAATTTGACAGAGGCTACTTTCCTAAACCATATATGAAACCAGAATGGCAAGAAATTACTCTAAATTCTCACACTGATCAGCTATGTCATATTATTGAAATGCAAATGAATGTTTTACACTTGCGGAGACAAGTAAATCTCATGTTAAAACAAATTGCTTATGTATGTGAAATGTCCAGAAGACAGTGACATGGTGACAAGATTTTAGACGTATTAGAATCTGACCTCAGGTAACCTGGAAGCAAAGTATTTGATGTAATCCCTTCCAATATTCTTCACAATACTGTCTAAAAGATAAAGAGATGGGAGCTTTTGCTCACGAGGAACCTGTAAATAATTCCAATCATCAGTAAACTAACTCATAGGGAACTTCCCTAAACATGCATACAAGATAGCACATTTAGCAACAGGTAAATATCTTGTGACCACAAACAAGAAACCTGGATATATTATGAAAGTAAGCCAATTGATATCAAAGTTCAAAATCACTGGGAATAGTCACTATTCGTTGAACTGATTTGGATTACCAATATCCCAGAAGAGAAACAGCTAGAACAAAATTAGCATAGAGTAAGGAATTAGAAAAAGACAATCAGGTACATGTTCTTTTTGCTAAGGTTACACTCCAATCCATTACATTGAGATCTGCACCAAACTCCTGAATCTTATTTTACCCTATCCTTGTATGATACAAATTGGAGTCGATAAGCAAAAGTTGCCGTCAAAAAACTGATCAACTGTGGATTTGAAAATCAAGATATTCCAGATAGCCTAGGATGAGATCTGACAACAACACTTGAATACCTCGAAGAACTTGAAAAATTCTCAGCTGATAAAATGCAAGTGAAAACACCCAACATTGACATAAAATTGACAGGTCTTCCCAAAATAGGAGCTTATTTTTGCAACAACCAACTCAAAATATGATGCTGGCAGATATAAGTTGTTAAGGTAAAAGGATGATATCATCAAATATTCTTGTCTTCCTCACTTTCAGGGTAAGGGATATGACATCACACTTCTGCAGAAAAGATAAGACGAATCCAGCTCAAGATAAATCCATTTGCACCACCATCGAAAGCTGGAAATCACAAGCAAAATCAACTGCCTAAACTTTGAATACCGCAAGAAGAAGAAAAAAGAAATTACAAACCTTCACATCTATAGCAAAAATGAAAATGAAATAGAAACCAGAGAGTCGGTTTAGATCAACTCTGTTAGATCAATGAAAACCATCCACAAATCAAATCGTCAAAGATAACCTTGAAGTTGCAGTACTGAAAACCATAGATATGTGGAATTGCACAATTGGAAGCTCACATAGAAGTAACGTGGTTAGCACAGTAGGTATTGATCATCAAGGTCATGGATGTTACATAGCGACCATTGTGGAGATTGGTCCTGAATAATTATTACATCTGAAGGTCACTATGAAATAAGTTTTTACTCATTATTCAACAATATGCCCCAGAATAATCAATTCCAACCATATCCATAAGGTGCAAGTTCTGAGCTGATGATTTACCATTGAAAATTCCTTTTTGTATATACGCAATGAATGGCTCGAATGCTATTAAAAAACACAGAATGCCACAAAACAGTTCCCTTGCAACTGCGACAATTCCATTATGCACCACTCCTTGTTACAATTTTTCTCCTTTTGAATTCACCAAAAGCACGGAAAACAAAGACTACTATAATAACCTACACTATTTGTTTAATAATAGAATCTTCATTCCTTTATCCGAATTCCCTATACAATTCAAGCAACTGTAAATACATGGTACTAATCATGTTATGCTAATTATAAATTTGGGATCACCTCGAGGATATTGGCGCAGACAGTAGCCGCTATGGCCTTGGCAGCATGGAGATTTTCCCCAGCAATAATAGTCAAGTTGGTAATAATCGGCTTGGAATTGAAAGTCAGTTCAGATAAGGCCGTCTTGTACTGATTCACAAGCTCCAGAATCTGTTGTTGCTGCTGCAAGTGCTGTTGTGGATAAGGTCCCCGCACCGAGTCACTGCTCTCGGAATCAGCGCCGCCCCTATCGCTCACCCGAAATCTGGAACCAGCAGCAACGGAGGTCGAATTTGCAGACGGCAGCGCGGGGCGCTGCTGCTGAATGAAGGAGCTGTTGGAGCGGCCATTGGAGGTGCGATCCAGCGGGATTGGGTCCTGGGTAAGCCTACGCTTCTTCAACCCTAGGTCTCGAGATCTATCAAACGGTCTACCTGAACTCTCCATATCCATTACAATTCAAAAAACAAATACAGAAAAATACAAAAGCAATAAACCTGACTATCTCGTCATTTACATAGTTCAAATACAAAGCTAAAGTCACCCCCCAAAGAAATTGAGAGTACAACAAAATTCCTACTACAGATTTTAAAAAAAATAATAATTATGAGCCCTAAGCAAATAAATCTTCGGGATGCAGATGGAGAGGAGAAAGTGAAAATTGACGATTCGGTCACTCGGGGTCCTTGGCTTTGGCTTGTTCGAGCCTGAAAAAGGTGCAAGTAGGTGCAGGAGGAAAGGGGGCTGAGGTGCGAGGAGAGGGAGAGAGAGAGAGAGAGGGAGAGAGATAGGTTTCTTGATTGATTGAATTGGGGGCGGGGATTAAAATTTTGGGGAGGGGTCAGCGGCTGGGGACTGGGCTGCGGCCCTTTTTAATAGGGAGTGGGGAGCAGGGGTAGCAAGAGCTAAGAAGCGGTGCAGCTGGTCTAAACTCTAAAATGAGAAGTGTATACACAAATGACAAATCCCTGGGGTCGGAAGGGAAAGTTACGTCGCAGGATGGAAGCAGGAAGACGAGACGTTCGCGGGGACGGATCATGGATCAGGCCGTAGAGGCTTCTTTGATTGGGTTGCTAACTCTGACAATACAACAGGCTTGTCTTGACGATCCAACGCGAGCTTAAATGGGCCTTATTTGCATTGCTTTTTTTTTCAAAAAAATTTTCCATTTCCGTGAACACATTTTTTAATTATCTATTTATCTCATATACATTCAAATTATGAAAATATATTTTTTTATAAAAATTTCAGAAAATAACCAGAGCAGTACCAAACCATCAACCTAAATCATATGCTTTCTATTCTTTTCTACCCCCTCAAAAGGCTCCCAACCCCAAAAAAAAATAATAATTTGTCTTTTCTATCACTTTTCCTTTCTTTTCTGTTAAATCACAACTCCCAAACTAACTACAAAGGTTATAATGAATTATGGGCAACTAGAAGACTGTATAAGAAGAAATGCAGAATAATATACTCAAGAATGCCTGTACTAAATGTTATAGTTGGATTGGTGTAAATTTTTCGAGGTTCCTTCTGTTTTGAAATCTAGAGATTTGTCCATCATCTCAGTGTGTAGAAATCATTCAGTTGTTTTTTGCTCTTTTGCAGTTCTTCGTGTCCCATAATTATCATGGTTTTTTTTTTTATAGAAATTTCAGACCTTTGGCTATAAATTTGTCAAGATTTTAGAATTAAATGAATAATTTGTTTTTAGTTAATTAAATTTCATATTTATTGCTTATGGACCCTCTTCTCATTAGTTGTTCAACTTGACAAATTTCCTTGTATGACATTTTTGTTTGTTACCGATGTGTGATTATTTGATTCCACTTTGGCTAATGCCTCTAATGTTTGTGCTTGATATATGAAGAGGTGATTTTCGGATAGTTGAACCGAGTCAACTTGAAGGGGTGACTTCTGACCGAAAATATCGAGTCAAAGGAATCTACCTGTCAAGTTTACAATGTACGAGGCTATTTCCCTCGGTATACTCCGACGATCAAATCAGTTCGAGTATTCAATTACAAACTAAGAATGGTTTAAGAATATCAAATGTGTATTTGTGAGTGTGTACCTTTCCTATGGATGGAAGGGTATTTATAGCACACAAGATGGTGGGAAGAATAATGAATTCCACTTCCCATGGACCTAACACTGACTGGGATAGTGTCGGTCTTAATAGACAGGACATAACAATGATCATATCACTCTGTCATGTCAACACCATATCAATCCATCATGTAGGAGTCAGCTTTCCAATGGGATGTCAGGTGCTAAAGAGCAGAGATAGGTGGTCGAGTCGATGTGAGGTCATCATTGGAAGACTGACCTCAGCTGCACATGTGAGGTAACGAGCCGAGGTGGCGTAAGCCCTGAGAAGGTCTCCTCGACCCATCACTGAGCAGAGAAGGGCCGAGATAACCGCCCTCAATATCAATTTAGCTTGGATTGCTGTTTCACGGTTTCAATAGGTAAGAAGTTTGAGGAGAGAAATAAAACCAGACAAGAAAAATGAGCTCGTGTTGGCAAGTACAGTTGAACACTACTTTTCTCCTGAAAAATTATCACCTCTCACATCATATATCTACTTAGAAATTTAGAATAGAAGCACACACACAATAAATACCTAAGAATATGCAAAATTGTTGACTAACAATAATAGTATAATGTATTGTTAAAAAAAAACTATAGTAAAATGTATAACTAATTTAGTATTATTGTCATATCATTTCCATAGTACAGAAGCATTGTGCTTAGTATGACGTAGTTAAAATTATTTTCATCACCCAACAATTCCATCGTACATCCCAATTATAACAACTTAAAAAATGACTGGGCAACTTCACGCAAAGCGTGAGGCTGCAATTAACTAGTTTGTCTTAAAGCCAAGGGCTGAAGTGAAAAAAAAAAAGATAGAGTATTACATGCTCGTGAAATCTCATGAAGGAATTTGAAATATTTTACAAGAATCTACTCATAAAATGGTTATGATTATATTACATAAAATTACAATTCAAACACCACATTCTTCTGCTTATGATTATATTATGTGTACCACACGAAATGCTCTTTTATGAAATGCATGTCTACCGTACAAATGAACAGTTCATGTCTCATACTCCATGAACGCAGTAATTTGCTCATCAACTGATTTTAAATTTGTCTTGTTTGAGAACCCGGTCATTCTCAAGCGTGTAACGGGCGAAACATGGCATTGACTACCTGCCGGGAGTTCAAGTGCACGTGCGATTGAAGGTCTACCGGTCAAACTGAGATTCGAGTCCTTCGTTGTAACAGGTGCTCGCAACCGCTGGGAAATGCAGTCTCTCAAGCTTCAACCAAATTTTAGAAGCATCCAATCTATATTAGTATATGGTAGTGTGTGACTGCGTGTGTTGCCTACTCAGGTCACTGCAAAATCTCCCAATCCCATTGGCCAATGGCCCCACACACGCGATATCATCATCTTCTTCGACAGTTCGACCCAACAGTAGAGTAAAATCTCCAGCTGTCCAAAACAAGCAAAACCGCACTCCCAAGCCCCACCAATCAAAATTCCCACCTGCATCAAAATATCTTCTCCAGTTCGACCCCACATCCGCCGTCCATAACCAGCACCTGCTATAAATATAAACCAGATGTATATATACAACAAAAAAAATTTAAAATAAAATGACCCACAAAAAATCAGTCCCAGAAAGAAAGCACGGTAGGAGCAGCAGAAGCATCAGGTTGGCATTTATTATGGTGGGTTATTCCCTGGCCACTCATTGCCTTCCCTGCTACGTTATAAGACTAACGTCTTCCTGCCTTTTGGCTGAAGTCAGAACTGCTATTTTACCACCGTGTCTTGGAACAGGGGATGGGACGGCTGAGGGCACTCTCCACCGCCTCAAGGTACTACTGTTACTGTCACTTTACTGATATTTTTTGCACCTCCATGCCATGTCGGCCAGTACCTATATATACTCAGCCTACATTACTCTGTCCTCTTTCACTGAAAACCCCCACCAAAATCTTCCCCGCTCGTTCCGAAACAACTCCAGCAAAAACTCAAATCTTTTTTTTTTTTTTCCTTTTTGGTAGCTCAGTGTATAATGAACCCACACGATCGAGATGAGAATTCAGTCTTTCCTTCATCAAATTCGCCTTCCTCTTCCCCCCCTGAGAACCAGTCTTCTGAAGTTGTCCCGCTCTCGATGGTCTCTCCTTTCGTAGACTTGGAATCTCGCCAGCATCTTCAAGAAATTGTACCAGGTATCTTAAGCGGAGGAACTATTACGACCGAGGCTGCCCGGAGTTTTCCTGGGATGCCTCAGCCTATGGAGTGTCTGCAGGGGACTCCAGTACCGCCATTTCTCTCCAAGACCTTTGATCTTGTGGATGACCCCGCTTTGGACTCCATAATCTCGTGGGGAGCCAGTGGACAGAGCTTCGTTGTGTGGGACCCCGTGGAGTTTGCCAGGAGAATATTGCCCAGGAACTTCAAGCACAATAATTTTTCCAGCTTTGTTCGCCAACTAAATACTTATGTATGTATTTTTGCTTCTTAATATGCACGCCCGAGCTCTGTCTCTCTCGTACAAAATTCCTCTTTTTTTTTTGTTCTCGTTGGTGACTATTTTAGATGTAATTTTATTGCTTTGTAATTTTTTTTTTTGACAACCCTTGTAGCTGTTGTAAATTCTGTTTGTAGATGTTGCTGTTGAGGATTTTTGTAACAGTTGTCTAAGAATCTTGTTGAGATTCGAGGCGGTTTGTACAGAAACTCATATAGGAAATGAAATTTAATTTAAATTACTTCTCTTTCATTTTACGCGTAGCAGTGCAATTTTGCTTGTACTTTTTTTTTTCTTTTCTTTTTTGAGGTCTTCATATGCCTCGAAGTTCTTGAAATTGTAACTTACCTAATTAAGGAGATTTAGGAGATTTTGACCTCAATTGTATGATGTCTGGTGCACCATTCATGCTCCTCGCATCAACTTGTAGACACTGCTGTAATGATGCACCTTACCTCCTTGAAATAAGATGATTGGCAGGTTCATCTATTTCGCAGGTCAGAACTTAACATTCCTCTGTAACATGCTCAGTTAAACCACCTGACTTGTGGAAGTATACGTATTTTATGATATAGGATTAATCTTTTATACACTGATAGTGTATACATTATCAGCGTTGAATGAATGATAACTATGCAAAATTTGAATTTGAAATTTAATTTTTGCACATGTGTCGTGGATCCAACGGTGATAGTGTATGCACTGTCAGTGTATATAAGATTTACTCTATGATATATGATGATCTCCTGATCTTACAGATGCACTGATGATTAGTATGTAGTGCAGCAGTTTGTGAAGCAGTGAGATTGTACGGTTTGCTTTTGGCTTGTGTAGCAATTCCATATGTTATAAGATGAAATGTTATTCCCGTTTGGAGATCCTTGTATCGATGTGCCTTTTTAATTTGAAGCCATTTTTGTCAATTTTGATAGGGGTTTCGCAAGATTGATGCTGACAAATGGGAGTTTGCAAGTGAGAGTTTCTTAAGAGGGAAAAGGCATCTGCTGAAGAACATTCAGAGGCGCAAATCGCCTCACTCCCATCAACTTGGTGGCTCCTCTGGATCAACTGGTGAAGCAGGCAAAATTGTATTGGAAGGGGAGGTAGAAAAATTAAGGAAAGAAAGGAGCTTAATGATGCAAGAAGTCTTTGAATTGCAGGAACAGCAGCTTGGAACAATCCAGCATGTGGAGGCAGTTAATGAAAAACTCCAGGCAGCAGAGCGTAGGCAGAAGTTGATGGTCTCATTTATGGCTAAGCTATTTCAAAATCCAGATATCTTGGATCGCCTGAAGCAAATAAAGGAGCAAAAACAAATTACTTCTTCAAGAACAATGAGAAAGTTTCTGAAACATCAGCCACATGAACCAGGTAAAGCTGAATCATTTCTGGAACGGCAGATTGTGAAGTATAGAACCAATTTTCGTGATCTGGCCACACCATCTGCTGCCCCTGAATTCGATCCAGGTGCAGTAGAACAACTTCCCGAATTTACTTTACAAGGTAAGGGAGAAAATATTGGGTTGGAGTCTGATAGTATACCATTTCAAATAGGTAATATTGCAGCAGATGAAATGGCTCTGACGTCTGAATTTCTGACAATCTCAGAACCAAGTGGAGGGGGATTTTCTAGTCAGGGAACCGAAGATACACTGCTCAAGTGGAAAACTGTAGTTCCACCAGAGGTGATTCCTGAGTATTTTGTTACTTCTCCTGATGACTCGGCAAAGGAGAAGAACTTCCCTGAATACTCATCACTGGATATCGAAAGTATGCTCAAAGAACAGGGACCATGGAGCATGGATTTTGAAGCTGGTGCTGGTGTTTCTTCTTCCAGCAATGAGATATGGGGTAATGCTGTGAACTATGAGATTCCAGAGCTAATGGTTAGCAGTGGATTGTCAGATATCTGGAATTTAGGTTCTCTACCAGCAGCCGGAAGTTCAGGTGCTGAGAAGTGGCCAGATGATGAATTTCCTTTCTCAAAGCTTGACGATCAAGTCGGCCAGCATAAAGATGAAAGTTCTAACTTCTAAGAAACTAGATCCATAGGTTTCTTTAACGGCCTCTTGGGCCGACTTATAGTTGATTCTCGGAAATTCAATATTGGACAATTTATTACATATTTGTTTGATTGACTATCATGGAGAACTTTTTTTTCTTAACTGCTCCATCAATTTTTTTTTTTTAAACTTTTAACAGCTGATTTTGTAGAATTCATTTCCGCATTCGATTGAATGTGCACGTCTAGATAGTATGATGATATGCTCAACCATCCTTTCCTGCTAATAAATACTTGCAAGCTTGTGATTTTGCAGGTTCACAGCAGTACGAGACAGGTCGCAGTGTAGCAGCCACTTTTTGAGGGTTTGTTGGAATGTCTTCTGCTGCTTTGTCAAGCACTGGGAGGTAAGATACCTTCATGAGAAGCAATTTGTTCTCCTAATTTGGTTCAATGTTGTTTTATCTTGTGTTGAGGATGTGCTCGATCACGCTGACAGTTGAATGCGGATGCTATTTCTTCTGTTCTTGCACTCGGTTAGTGTTTGTCCGTGGATTATACACTCGCTCAGTTTTACTTCGAGGAGGCCATGTACAAATTTGCTTTTTGCCCTGAGTTCTGTGGCAAATACACCAAGATGCTCATTCATTCTGCAGTTACACTTCCGTCTCGGAGAAGAACTGTGTAAAGTGTTTATTAAAATCCTAACATCCCTCTTCATTTGTCTATTTTCTTGAATTTTTTGTTTTTGGAATGTGGCTTTGCTGGGGGCATACCATGCCTGAAAGTGCAGTTGCGAGAGGGAAAGAAAAGCAAATCCTTTTTGTATGTTGAGTAGCTTTGCTTCGTTGGAAGGAGTTGATTCGGGCAACCTTTTTCGTTCTTCTTCTTTGGGTGTGTGTCCGCCTGTGCGTGGAAGAAATATTACCTTCTGAATGAAGTAAAATTATTGCGAAGTAAAAGACATCTAGGAATTAACATCAGAATCAACTCAGAACTTCATTCTAGTTTTAAGTTCCCATTCCCAGAATCCATACGTTGGCAATAGCCAGTCTATGTCCGGTGAATCCATAAGCTTTCCAAAATGAGAACCGAACAACATACGTAGCTGCATCCAATAAACTCTTCTAAAACGATAACGTTCAGTTCAGCAACTCAAATATGACACCGTATCTAGTTACAGAGATATAACCAGTGTAAATACAGTGACTTCACAAGCCTGGCAATGAGAAAGAACAAGATATCTACATGCATCTGGTATCGTCCTTCAGAACCAAATGTTCATTTCAGCAACTCAAACTGTGACTCCATTTTTTCACATATGTCATACAAGGTTCAGCTGCCCCTTGGCATCTTGCAATTTCCGTGTTCTGCAATTTATAGTGAACCAAATGTGAATAAAAATATACCATCTCATTCTTCAATGTTTTTAATAGGAATTCAGAACCGTTGCCACAAATCAGGAAGGGCAAAAGATAAACAATAAAGAACCAACCACCAAGAAGATTACAACAAAAGTGGCTCCAGATGCAGTACTAGCCTCACACGTGAAGGCAGCTACTTTGTGCATACAACACCAGAAAATACACAGCAAAACCAAGTTCTATATCAATATAAAGGGAAACTTTTACTGACCAGTGCGTCAACATTGAAAAACTTTAGAAAGCTTCTTCAAAGAGAGAGACCAGCAAACAGCATTTCCAATTCCTCCTCCTGCGATGTGGTTCTCTGCAAAGAGAAAGATACCCAGAACAGGGTCATTGTATTTTGCGCAAATGGAAATCGTGCATATGACATGGGGACTAAAAGCAAACTCAGACGGCCTACAGGACAAAATTAGTGGTTTATCAGAAAAGATAAGAATCGAAGATTAAAATTGCCATCAGCTTGAGATTATAGCTACAGCATACATATGCAGATCAGAAATAAAACAAACTTGATACTACTTTGAAAAAAATTCGAGGGAAAAAAAAACAGTCATATATAAATTTCAACAATGTTAAACCATGGCTATGGGCAATTCAAGCTAAAAAATTAGCTTGACGAACTGAATAAAATAAAATTGACATCCTAAAATAGTTGGTAACCCCTGTATTTGCTGGACAAGTATTAAACAGGGGTCCTTCTTTTCCACACCAAAACACTATTCAACATATAGTTCTTTAGTATGGAATAAACAAGGTTACCAGCAGTCCTGATAACCAACAATTGAAAAGTTCAAATATTAGGGAAAAAAAAAAAAGGAAAAGGAAAAGAAAATCATAAGGAGCTTAGAAGGTGAGGGACTCTTGAGTTCACCTGCATAGATAACAGGTGAAGGATTTTATTCAAGACACGCAAGCGATGAATGGCGTAAGTGCTGTTTGGCGGAAGTTTGTTCATCCTCGAAATCTCTTCATCAACGGCTGCTTTCTTTTCTTCCAAACCCTTGCGGTTCCAGGCTGCTTTTCTACCAACCACCTGGTTGCCACTCTCTTTTGGCGGCTGATCGACCCCGCCATTCGTGCCCTTCAATAATCCCTCAGAAGGATCCATTTTTGCAGCAGCGCTTCATAAGCGGGAGACAAAACGAGATAATTTCGTCCTGAAAAAAGCTAGTTCACCAAAGAGATTTCTTTGTGTTATGTCAGATTTTTCATTACTTAAAACAAAATCAATAAATAAAATTAGAGGAGAAGGAGAAAATCTATACTTTGATTTTGCTAGCTATTACTTATTAGTCGAGGACAGTGCAGACGAGGGAACCGGGGACCGAGCATGGACAATTGGAGGGAAAGACGGCCCAGGTAGCCAAGGCTTCCATCGAACCTGAGCCCAAATTTTCGCAGCACGCAATAGTACGAACGAGAGTATAAATAAACAGATACATATTTACCATGTTACGCATTTCTTTTTTCGTATTTGGATTTCATTTTAATATAGTTATTAGAGTGCGTTTGATAAAATTGAAATTTGAAATTTGTATATATTAAATTACTAAATTGTTGCTAAAATTAGAATCAGTTGAGGAACATTTTGAGACAATATATTAACAATTATTAAGTGTTATGCAAAATTTATGACGCAAAGAGCTTAATTGCGATAGAATCATGGAGATTTAATTATTTCCCCCCCCCCCCTTGCGGTTAAAAGTAAGAACCATTCTAGGTATATAATTATGATAAGACCTCCCAAAACATGCAATCCTATTGGTACAAAGTTCTATCCTTCTAAATGCATACACAAGTGTGTGTGTTGATATGTATTGGCGTAACAAACCCCACACAATGCTATGTTTAACCACGTGTAGATTTATTTATCTAGGGATAATTTTAAAAACCTCTTAACAATTTGCCCAAATTCAAAAAATAAAAATAAAAAAAAATGATTTTAGGCGTGAGAAGATCATTGATTTCAAAAGCGCCCCTCATCTATAATAATAATAATAATTAATTTAATTGTTCGATCTAGCTTATTATTTCACTTATGAGCTCATAATTACACACGATAAATAAAAAAATTTTCGTCATTTGTTACCAAAAAATAACAACTTTTGAAATCTAACAAAACATTTTTTTACCTTAACATTCTTGTTATCACCACGCTAATAAGAAGAAACAACAGAACTAAAGTCTCCTCACATCCAACTTCTTTTAATTGTCAAGTACATTAAAAAAAAAAATAGCTAGCCTAGCACTAGAACACTTTTCTAATGCCAAATTATTTTTTCTAATGTAATCAAATTATGGTTAATTTAGTTCGTAAACGTCTCAATTATTTTTCACGTCTAAATCCTTTTATTTATATGGTACATCACATATAACTTTCATTTTATCTATCAAGTACATTAATAGAAAAGTGCATCTAGTATTAATTCCCTTTTATATAGCAAATTAATTGTCTTTTAAATTCCAAATTATGGTTAATTCAATTAGTAAACATTTTGATTGTTTCTCTCCACAAATATGTATAAAATATCTTAGGTTGGAAAGATTAGCGGTCATTTCACGACTAGGGATGCGAGCATTGGGTCCCAAATTAATGACAAAAATCTCCGAAGTACAGCGAAATTGCCCAAATCTCCGAAGTTTCCAAAATTATATCTTCTATCTAACATAGACCTTTGTTCAGCCAGGTGCAGAATTTCCTGTTCACCGGTAGATTCGTGCCGGAAGAGCTCACCGTTTGGAAGAGCAAGCGAACCCCAAATCCCACTGGAGGGTCATCAAGCCTTAAAACACTTTGGTACCTTTCGATTGGACAATGACATCGTTGAAAAAAAAAAAAAAAAGAATTGGACATTACGTACATTAAACTCAGTGGGAAAAGTTCATTGCGGATGTTAGAAACTGCTACTTATTACAGCATCTTTTCTTCTTTGCTATATAAATGTTACTTCCACATTTTTGCCAAAAAAAAAAAAAAGGAAAGAAAAGAATTGTTGCTTCTGTTAGCACGTGTTGCTAAGCTGTCATAGGAGACATCAATCGTTATCAGCAGAAATACATGCCTGATGATAGACTCCAGCCTAATCGCAAACTAAAGATCCACCAGCAGGTTGTATGCCAAAAGAACCATGCCTTTTATGCCTTCCAGCCGTGTTGTTACCCCAATCAGTTGACTACCTTATGAGCAACTAATACAATGTACATTACATGTCGCACTCAAATTTCGAGTGCTTTTTGCAACTATAAACCAGATTTTCAATTACAGAGAACTTGATTACAAAAAAAAAAAAAAAAAAAGGATGAACAGAATTTCCACACTAACACTGATATAAATGCTCAGGTAAACAAATATTTCAATGAGTATAAAATATAAGTGCAGATACTCATCTCCTTTTAAAGCAACGGCATTTACTGATTTGGGTAAAACTCAAAATGTGTTGAACAGGAAATTGGAATCGATATGTACATGAACAAGCCTGCAAAAAATGTATACCACACAATTAGCACAAGGAATCCCCCAGAAAATGAGAACTATTGTGCCTATGCATGTACAGACACATTTTTTGAACAGCAGATTATTTGAAATAATTTTTTGAAATGTGATGTATGTAAAATTAAGAAAAAAGTTATTAAAAAGATAAAAAAAATGATGACTCCTAATCTCATATTTTGGTTTCTCGCCTTCTATTGTTAGTTTTGCAGGTACAAAGGAAAGATAAGTAGCCGGGCCTCTAAAACCACAGATAACTATTTATTATCATTATTATAGGAATGCCATCCTCAAGTGGAAGGATAATATTTTGTGGTAAATTTTGTTTCACAACAAAGAATAGATACACAAGTGCGTTGATTAGATTAAAAAAGCGGAAGCAAATGGTAATAAATAAACAATAAAGTTTAGATGCCAATAAGCTCCAACTAAAATCCTTCCACATAAACATACCTGATATAGTCTACAAGCAATCCTCCAGACATGACCAAAAAAGGGAAAAAATTGCCAGATATGTGCACATTTGGACACCGTGAAATTCATGTGAGCAAGGGCACGTCTCCATGACCAGACTGAGGAGTGGGGGAGGGTTTAGTCAAAGGTTTCAGGGATTCCATAATACTGGAAAAGGAAGGGCGTTTCCATGGCTCACTGCAAATCACCAAAGCCATATTAGTAAAGGATGAATATATGTCAAGATGAGGCTTCAACCACAAAATACGAAATGACACAACTAACTTGGCCCAACAGGCTTCAATAATTGCAGCTACATGAGGATTCAAATCACGCGGTATTTCAAGCCTTTTTCCCTTGAAACCCACAGCTGCAACCACCTGGAAAACAATCACACCTACAGTTCATGGCTTAGCTCAAAAAAGATACAAGAAAAACTTGGTAAATGAAGAAATACAACTGTTCTAAGAGGCTAAGCCGCCAGTGACCATGGAGTAAATCACCTGACCGTAAAAAAGGTGACTTTGAAGGCGAAGGAAGATTATGTTATACAAACTCAGAATTAATTCACACCAGCTAGCCAATACTCTCGTCATTTTTCCTACTCAGAAACACCAAAGATTCAGTGTGGAAACTGAACCAGAACCCTTAACTATACAGTATCTCACCAGCTATTTTACAGAAGGAAACAAAGAAAGCTAACAGCTTAACCTCTATTCGCAAATCAGTTTGAAACTTAACACTGATCTAGAATTCCATTTGCTCCTCTTCCATTGCTAGAGCTGATGTTGAGCATAAAAACTGAGAAAAACGTTTTGTCGGTTAAGAGTGTAGTCTAACCTCTATGGACCTATTCCATATGGCTGTAACACCAAAATGCACCATGCAACCTATGCTCTAAGTTTGAGGAAATAAACACATTAAGGACCAAAAGTGGACCACAGATCATCAATCCCTAGCTAATGAATACATGCATAACTGATGCATCATGATTTCATAGCAATTATCACGTGTCACCAAAAGGACGATTTCGGATCGCTTTGAGCAAGATGAAACCACTGAAAGAAATGAAAACCAAACCTGTGCCGGATTTAAATAACTCCAGGGTTGTAGTATAGTTGCAAGCTCCCACAAAATAACACCAAAGCTGTATACATCAGATTTTTCATTTGATGGTTCATCGCGAAGTACTTCTGGTGCCATCCACTCAGGCTACAAGATAAGGCAACCAAGCAAATTTCATAATCCCATACAAAGGCCAAAAACACGATGGTCTGATAAAGTGAATTAGATCAATGAATGTGATAGATTGAACTACTCACAGTTCCAGCAGCTGACTTTGACGAGAGAAATGTATTGGCCTTTAAACGGGAAAGACCAAAATCACATACCTGGAGAACAATTATAAGGTAAATCCTCTCAATTGAACAAATGGAGAGCATCGAGATTTTCAAACAGAATTTATGTGAAAACGGTGAACTAGATAAACAAACATGCTATAGACGTCAACAAAGAAAGAAAATAGCCTACAGAGAAAAATCATCTAAGCAGCAAGTAAATAACAAGGTAACAGCATATACAAACATAGCACAGATGCAACATTTACATAGTATATATCAATCAACATTCTGAAGGCCTGATATCCAAATTACTAAGATAATTACAGCATCAACTTCAAGGTAATGAGTGTCCAGGCAATGATCCCATCAGCAACAATTTGCATGAGGTCATTGTTTTCAACAATTTCATTTTTTGAGACCAAATTTTGTTGCAGAGCAGTATAAAAAACTATGACAGCTTTTAGTACCCAATAAATATCAGGATCCTCATTGCACTCTGCAAGCCTGTGCCCCTTCAAGGGGGAACCACTCCAAGCAATTGTTTATAGAAAGTTGTAAAATGTTAATTTCAAAAGAAATATAGGTCTAAAAATTCTCATTTACTCCAATTAAGGAACATACTTCAGAATTTATCACCCGGTAGCCATTGGCCTTTCTGATATGATCTCAATTTAAAAATTTTTAGAGGAGCAAGATGGCATAGTTTCAGCATCAACCCCAAGAATGTAGCTAAGTATAAAAAGGAAACTGCATAATAATATCTAACGAGCACAACGTGAAATGCTAAACCGCATGTATTTAACTAGTAGATATGTAAGCATGAATAACTTGCACTGCTAGATATAGTTGCGTTAAGTTTAACAACATATTCATCACTTTAAATCTCAAAAAGCCATGTCAGTTATTCTGCCAAAAAAAACCTACAATAGAGAGATAAATTCCAATAATCAGACAACAGTGAGTAGAAGATATTGATATACAAATAGCCTCTAGCAAACCAAAGTTTTGCTTACTGTGACTCAAAATGTTGAAAGCTCTAAAAGACGAAATATTTCAGATCAACAATCATGCTGATTACTAAATATTTCAGATCAACAATCATGCTGATTTGACAACTTTATGCAATCAATG